GGTGTGAAGATCAGTGGACAAGGATATGAGAAAAGGGTAGTTTCCCAGGATTTGGAGATTTGGCTTTCAAATGTAATAAGCTAATACGTCATCTCGTAGTTTATAATAAACTTTGATGTTATTCTGCATTTTAGTTGCAGATGTAGGAGAAAATCATTATGCACTAAATCTCATATCTTTCTTGTACAGGCACCACCTAAAGGAGATCGATTCACCCTTCTTGCTCGAGCGGGAAGACAGGCAAATTACCATCAATACTTCTTTATTTTCCTCTCTCTCTCTCTCTCTCTCTCTCTGAATATAAATTTGATGTTCAGGTGCAAGAAATACAACTATCGTCATCACTTGATCAAGATGGAATTAAGAGGGCACTGCAGCGGGTGGTGGGACGCAGTCCATGAAATTCTACGCCCCGCTACAGAATTCTCTATTGGTGTAACCAATTCCCATTTGTTAGGTATTGAAGCATGTTTTTTTAAGAGACTAGTAAAGTGCACGTAGCACATGATGTATGATTGTTTTTTATTTTGATTATACATTATGGTTGTTTTATTTGTGGTTTACTAATTTTTTTTATTATTATTATTATTATTATTATTATTATTATTATTATTATTATTATTTTTTTTTTTTGCATTATATTAGTTAATCTATACTATTCTAAAAGGATGAGTGTTTTTATAAAAAAATATGAACTATTTAAAAGACATTTACTTTGACATAATTTTAATGGGCAATTATTAAATTAGTAAAACACTAATACCCATCATATATTCTATGTTTAATTATAAAATGAACTACCTAAAAATTTTTTATTTAAATAATGGAAAAATTAGTAATACACTATTATTCTATCATGTTTTATATTTTTAATTGTTAGTTAATGTTTAATTAATCAAATATATATACATAGACAAAACATTCAACATATACTAAAAATCAAGTACACTATTTTTGCACCATTATTCCTGTGTTCTTCCACATATCTCTTAAACTGTATTATTCCTATCTCTAAAAAATCAACCGACATTAACATAAAATAATAAGTAATTCCAAAAATATATACTTAGCTTATATAAAAGAAGATACCTAAAATTTTACAGAAAGCATGAGCACATGAAAGATATACATAATCCACCACATTAGAAAAATGGAACAATTCATTTAACTACTTTAATATTTCAAAAAAACTAAACTCTTGTATTTAGAATTATAATAGAAATTGAACATTAGTCTTATTTGATTGAATTTTAATCCCACAAGAATTGTCATTTTTATTTTATTATTTTCTAGGACAAAGCCAATAATGTAACGAATCTTCACCTGATCATTAGGTGGTTAATGTCGGGGTAAATAATGTTTTAATTATTAACACTGAAATATTCTAACTTTTTTCATTCAATGATTAACTACATATATCATGATATTTAATTATTATTACTTCATTTGAGCCATTGATTTTCTAGATGAGCGCTAAATAAATGATGAGAATTAAAATTGTTATATTTTAGATATTTTATTTATTGATATTATATTAAGAAATTTAAATAAATTTATGACTATCTAGTGCTTGCGATCCCCTACTATAGGGGAGTACTTGGTTCGAAGGGGAGACAATAAATTTGAGAGTTTATTTGGCCATACATATTGTATCAAATAAGAAAACTGTTTCAGCAATATTCATTTAAGTTAGTAAATTTTTTTAATAGCTATAAGTAAAAATTTTGAAATTAATATTGCATGTGCTCATAACGACGACAAAGTATATAAACATTATTTTTCAAAATAACTTATAAAAAAAAATAGTATGATAGATTAATTGTTGAGTTATTGTTCTGAAACCTAAACTTAAAACCTACTTAATTTCTTTGCTTAAAGTTAGATTAAAATTTTTTTATGAAATTTTATAATTCTAAAACTCAATCCATTTGTTTATATGTCGAATGGGATACCACTTGAGCAACATGTTTTAATTTTGATCATAAGATTACTTACAAATTATGATATGTCTATATACATTGAATACAAAATATTTTTTACTAAGAAATTATATCGATATATGTTGAATCAAATAGTATTTGTATTAAAAAATGTACGAAATAAAATTATATATTTGACTAAAATATTAGTCAACAAATTGTAATTATATATAATATAGTATAAATATGTACATTTAATTAATATATAAATATATAATAAGACATACAACCAAAAAATTCTATACCTAGTTTTATGGATTTTTTTAACAAATCTAAAAGTTATACATACGCAATATAATGATATCTTGATATTTATCTTTCTTATTCATTCTTATGAATTTGAATTCCTCACTACATATATTGTTGAGTCCTTCCATATCTAGATACCGAACCAAAGTCAGTGTATGTGAGAGGTTCGATGTAATTGATGAAACGAAGTTCAGTTATAGAAGCGAAGTGAATGAAAGGTTATAACATATGCTCGACTATAAAGAAGAGGCTCGATGAAATTGACGATACAAAAGAAGCGAAGCGAAGTTCAGTCATCAAATTTTGTCAATTGAAGCACAAATTTATGACAAATAAATTTATGTAGTACACGGGCCTTACAGTTAAGCTCAGCGCATTCAATACTTGTTAATTATATATAAGGGCAATTTAGGGCGTGTCCGCATACAAATATATCCGTCCAAAATGAGTTTTTGTTTTGTTTTGGGGTTAACCAGAAGCTATTTTGAAAAAAATGGTATGATTAGATATTCATGATATTTTAATTTTATATTAAAATAATATTTAAACTAAAAGAACTAAATCTTATTTGATGTAAAAGTAAGAGATAAATGATGTTAGATGTGTAAGAATGATTGATTGATATTATTTAAGTATAATGATAAACTAGTACAACACCCGTGTATTACACGGGTGCTTGCTAATTTTTTTCTTAAAATTTAAAATCAATGAGAAAAAGTAGTTTGAAAATTTAAATACCTTTTATAAGAATATATATATTATCATATATTTATTATGATAATTTTTATTTGTGCGACTTACTTGTGTTATATTATACTAATTTTTTAACTTATAATATATGACTACATTAAATATAAATATATCAATTGAGAAATAATTTTATTTTTCTAATGAATTTTAATAAGTATTATTATTTTTTATTATTGTAAAGATAAATATAATTTATTTATTTTATATATACAATATGGATGTCAAGTCGAAGATCATCAAAAGATGATTAATTTGATATATTATATATGTAAAACAGATAAGAAATACAAAAGTTATCAACTTTTAAAATATATTTATAATTCAATAGCTTATTGAAGGAAGCAAATCAAAATTTAGGGATATATTAGTCACTTAGTGCCTCACTATGTAAAATTACAAAAAATTAAAGGGTTATACTAGTAAAAGTGATATTAAAATACCTAAGTTAGCTAAATAATATTTATGGAATACCCGAATCTAGATTATTAAGTATTAATATATCAATATTATTTGTCCAAACCTAATTACGAAGCATGATTCTTCGCCAAATAGGATTTCGAAGCACCAGAAGCAGCCACGTAGGCTCAACGCATTCGAGAATTATATATAAGGAGGATTTGAATATAACGGAGTGGAGTTAAGGTTTAATTAAATTTTAAGTATAAATTAAGCATGAACTAATGGGTAGTTTATTTATTTAAAAAAAAATTAAGTGGACAAAAAAAAAAGAGTGGACCAAAACAAAACAGCCGTATTCTCAGAATACGTTTTCTTAAAAAAAATTAATCAATAAAACGTATTCCGAGAATACGTTTTTTAAAAAAAAAGTAAAATGTATTTTTTAAAAAAAACATTTTAAAAAAAATAGGCAAATAATAATTAAAATGTATTTTTATAAAACGTAGTTTGAAAATACGTTTTTCAGGAAAACGTATTATGAAAATACGTTTCAAGAGAAAAATAAATTTTTTTGAAAAAAATAATATTTTTATTAAACCGTATTCTCAGAATACGTTTTACAATTAAATTGTCGGTAAACGTATTCTGAGAATACGTTTTTTACGTTTAATATATAAAAAAAAATCTCTTCCTCTCCTTCATTCACGCAGAAACACGAACAGAAACGAAAAAAAAGAGGGCAAGGAGCGATTTTTCAGCGTGAAAAAAAAAATCGATCCAATCTTCATCCCGGCGTGAACCGACAACACCGGCACGAGTCTCATTTCCGGTTAATTCATTCGCACGAGGTATATTGTCTTATCTTTACTTTTTACATTATTTGAAGTTGTTTATAGATTGAGAATTGGTATAATATGTTTGAATGTGGTGGTATTAGAAGATTGAAAATTGCTAATTGATTATGGATTATGTGTGTATGTTGAATTGAGAATTGAAATTTTGTGTGTAAATTGTCAATTGTGTATTGTTTGGTTGTTGTTGGGATTAGGGTTTTTCGAAATTAGGGTTAGAATTAGGGGTTTCAATTTATCCGAATTATAGATGAATTTTATGTTATCTTTAGATTATGAGTTTAATGGTTTTGGATGATTATTTGATTGGGGCTATTTTTTGTTATTTTTTATTTTTTGTTGGAGAGTAAAAATTGAGTTTTTTGGAAAAAGAATTGAAATTGTTTATTTGCAACAGGTATAAAATGGCCTTTCCCGGTCCATACCTTGTTAATTTGTACTGGCATTTTGGGAAGGAAATGTTAAGCAATTTTGTTTCATTTAAAGATCGTCCGAGTGGTTCATTTATAATTTCGGGGAGGATATCATATGAACAGTTGGTACAGATGATTAATGAAAAATGTCAGTTTGAAGAAGGTTGGACAATTCAGGAGATTACTATGATGATTAGCCAACCCGATGGTTCGTGGAATCCCGCAATACTCAATAACGATAGTTTTGAATGGATTTATTATTTTCCTAGTATGTCCATGGTGTATTTGCATTTATCGTTGCAGGCAAATACACCCGTTACACAGTTTGAGGATTTTACTCCTTGTTACGGAAGAGTGTTTGATGTCGAGGGTACATCGATTTCTCATGTACCTAATTTTGGAGAAGGGACATCGAGAGAATGGGCGGCGGATGAGGACGATGAAGATTTTATTCCCGGTGAAGATGACTTCACAGACGAGACCTCAGAAACCGAATCAGATAGATCGGTTAATGAGGAGAGTGAAGCCGAGTTCTTCAAAGAAGAACACCCATTTCCTATTGGTGGTCGGCACATATACCGCGAGATGGGTGAATGGGACCCGTCCAGGATAGATGCGAACGAGTATGCTATTCCACGGTGGAATGGCGACATTGAGACCATACGTTTGGGTACAGTTTTCTGGAGCAAGGAAGAAGCCCAAACGAGTCTAATGGCTTGGAACATCGATAGGTTGCGGGAGGTTCGGTCAAAAGATTCAA